AGGCTGGTTTCTTCTGGGGCAGAAGTATGTGCCTGTACAGTAGACATGCCTGAGGATGCATAATAGTAGCCATTGTTTTAGGGTTATGATGGTCAGCCAACAGTCTCTCAACAGAAGAGCACAAGTTTAATTGACCTCAACTGGCCAGTTGTTGTCCTGGAAGAGTTTATCTTTTGTTTGCCGTGGGTCAACAAAGATTATACAAAAATTACAGACTGTTATGTTGGTGGAGGAGAAAATTACAGTATACTGTATGTTACCTATTGTACCACAGTATAACGTTCTCCCTGTGAAATAGATTTTCTCAGTGAACCCTGTGACTTGTGCTAACGCCCATAAGTCATTTCAAACACAACATTACATTTTCAACATCACAGCTGTCCAGTGAGGATGAGGCAATGGGGCGACCAGTGACCTTCTCTGTAAATGCTTCCATGGAGCTTTTTACCCCTCAAAGACCATTGTGTCAATGTGAATGTACTCGTCTGTGTCAGCTCTGTCAAGTCATAATTGGGTGACCGTGCAAAGTAGCAAGAAGCGAATCAGTAACATGATGATCACATTTTAAATCCCAGACAAACGTGTTCAACTTGAGCTCAGAGGGCGAAGCAGTGTAACTGTCCATTACATTGTGATTAATTCTGACCTGGACAACTCGCTGATTTAATATTACACTATGCCTGCTCATATTTTTTGGTGAGACTCATATATTTCTACAGTAACAGGATGTGACTTTTTAGTCCAGCCTAAGCATTTTTTCTTTGGCTCACAGGAAAATCAGAAGACATTTTTGGTTGTGCAAATGACTGAAAGCATAGATTCATAATGTTGGTCATGGTCAATACTGTTATTGTCACTGGTTAGAAGAAAAAGCAATGGGCTTGATTTCAACTGAACCAGTACAAAGAGGGTGACAAGATTCATATTGGAAAATATGCATTTTTGTATTTGTTATATGTGATGAAGGTCTCCTGCTGGAATTGAACCTGTGAAGCTGCAGTTATATTTCAGCTAGTGATAGTTATAAATAATATTATAGTGATAAATCTGACAGTTTACATTATAATACAATAAGTAGCATTATTCAGGGTTGACTAAAAAGATATTCATTTGAACCAGGACAAAGAAAAGATAATTACATATATTTGACCTTTGTTGGATCGAGTAAAAATGGCGCTTTGATCTTAAAAATAAAACATTCCATGAGTTATGATAGAGAAATTATAATTCTAGTATTCATAGTCGATTTGTCAGTGGGTATCATGCTCTCCTTGTTGATTACATGGACTCCAGCTCAAAAGCAAGTTGCGATTGGGAATGTCAGGTTGCCATTTTCTTATGATTGGCTGATGAAAGGTATAATTTGGGACTGCCAAGACAGCAACTTCAAAAGCTTCCAATGCCATATTAGGCTGGAATGTGAAAGCTGTCCAGGCAAAAAATGATCCAATTTTCTACTGGCTTTAATTACAAAGAGGATCTCCTTTCATTGGTGGGGCAATTGCTGTCCATTTCTGAAGACCATTGTGGAAAATTATCAAGTCAAGCATATCCAGAAAGCTTAAATCTGGACTGTTTTAGAGTGGCCATGCCATGATTATATCATATTTGAAACGCACATATCCACAGGCTCTGTAAAACAACCTTCAAAATGATGGTAATGTAGAACCAGGATTTTTTTTGTGCCAAGGGTAAACAATACAAGACACAATGATAACACTGATGGCCATAGTCCAGTTACTCAGTGTACAAAAACTAGTTTCTTAAATAACCATTTTGTTTGTGCTTGTGGTGACGAGTAGGACAAAATAAAATAAGTGGGTAAATGGTTATTTGCCTTGTAACTGTGCCTTTTTAGAAAGTTTCCCTTTCTTGGCTGTCACCACGCCAGCAAAATAAAAGCATAAATTGTGGTTAATCCATGGAGCAGAGACATTGTGCCTGAAGCCTGTTGGTAATGGGCAATGCCCTTTTTAATCTAAATAAAGTTAAGCGTTTGTAACAGCGACTGCATTATGGAAAATCCAATTTGTGATTGCAACATCTCTACTTAACCTATGGGTAGCTCTTTTTTGGTCCAAGCAGCTAAGCTGCACGTCTTTTCCATGATTAGTTTTCCAGGAAACTTACATGTACATGACCTTGCATGCAATGCTTATGATTCATATGCAAAAACTGGGTTCTGGTTATTATGGTGGTAAAAAAGAATTAACATCTAAATATTCTCAGACATGCAGACTCATGCACAGAGTACAGAACCCAGAGATACTGTGTATCCCCTGTCCCTTTCTCACAGACTAACACACACAGGCACATGTGCAAATATACGTATAGCCTATACAATATCATCCAGTCTACATTCATATAGTAACGTGTTATTTATCAAATCACCATTTGTTTTAAAAATAGAAATAATACGATTTAATTATGATTGTTAATTTGATTAACATGAGATAATGAGGCAAGGAAAGAAACTCAGATTAGGACCTGAGTCAAACATCTATTCTGGCACCAACTCTAAGTATCTTTTCTTCTTGGCTCTGAAAAGGCTTCTTCTATTTGTCTCGCTGACATAATGCCAACCAAAGCAAACCAGATGGGTTAATTCAGTGCTTTGGCAAATGCTTCCCTCTCTGCCCCCACCTGTCAGATCCTGTCAGACCATATGTCACGAGAAGAAGGACACGAAGAAAAGGGACCATTCTCACACATTTGGGACGTGTCCAGAGGCTTATTTGTAAGCCTGCAGGGTGTGGCAGGTAAGCTTCCACCTCAAAGGCAACAGCTCCCTCCCATGTAATTGCTCTTCATCAGATCAAGATGCATAACATTCTTTCAGACCATTTCAAGTGACTACTGCCAAAAGACAGAGCGTTAACTGCCATCAAAGGCGACTATCTCCAATCTGGATCAGTTGTGGCTGTTGGGATATCGTTGTGTCATTAGCTCAGGTTTCAGACTACACCCTGCTAATAAACAATACAAACAGAGAAAAGGCACACTGATGGACTCAACCAAGCAAAATACAACACGTAAACATAATCCCAGTGAGCCAGCGGCACACACCAAACAGTGTTCTTTACCCTAATAAGTGATCCTCTTATCAGAGCCAGGACCGTTCTAATGAGTCAGAGGAAGGATGCATCCTCAGGCAAAGCAGAGATAAGGGCCTTTGATAGAATTAAGCCAACGTCAAACAGCCAGTAGATGAGTCCTGTGAAGATAAAGCAGTCCGGACTGACAGGTCTGATAATAGTCCAAACAAAGAGAAAGTGGAGATTAAGGGGTTCCTTTTCAGGCAGTTGAGTGGACTGCCCAGAGGATACTCCAAAACATGGCTCATCTGTCAAAGACGGGAGGAATGGATACCATCACTGACGCTTCAACTAGGAACAGATAGTATCTAGGAATGCCTATAATGCTGAGTCTGATATAGTTCAGTTATCATAGGTAAGGTTATCATAACTATAATTAGGTTATCATATCAGAATCTTTGAATTTTACATAATTTTTTAAATATTTAGCTGATACTCTTATTTAGAGAAAGAATGAAGTACAAGACTCCGACCAGGGGAAGCTGTACTCATTGGGGTACCTCTGCAGTTGTCAGGGGAAATATGAAAAACTCAATAATTCAACTGAACTCAAGTAACAAGTAACAAAAAAAGTCAAAAATTGTGATTTGATTAATATACACATAATCCACATTTATATTAGAGGAAAGCTATATTAAGTAATAACCAGTGAGTCATGTGTTTGCAATTGAGAGTGTGTGAAAACTTAGCAGAGAAAATGAAATAATGGATAAATCATTTAAATTGTTAAAGAAATATTGGACAAATGGTTGATGGTTAACTAAAAGTTCTGGATATAACAGTTTTGACCTAATTAGTTAATAGAGTGAATAAATAGTAGAAATATCTAAAGGTAGATAAATAGTTGAAATAGTTAGCTGAAAAGTAATGGCCATAACAGTTGGAAAAGAAAGCTAAAAGTACTGGGCATAACAGTTTTAACTAAACAAACAGCTCTGATAATGAAGCAGTTTGCCAAAAGTAAAACTGTCTAAATAACTGGCTAAAAGAAATAAATAGCTGACAGTTGATTATATGAAAAAATATAGTAACTTTTCTAAAGTTAATAGTGATAATAACTCAGTTTAATCAGGAGGCCGTAATGCAGCAGACAAATGTTGGGAACCACCGTTTCAGAGATCAGTCATCTGAGAAAACTTGGCTTTTCGGTATATGACGGAAAACACAATGAGTGTGTTTACATGAGCACTAGAGTCCTAGCTCTGATTGTATTTTTGGAGTATAATGATTATGCTCATCTAAATATCCTGATAAACATGGATAAGGTTTTATAAGTTATGAATAACCAGGTTTCTCATGTTCCATGTAAAAACTATATCCCAATTATAATCAAAACCAGGATAAGAGTCAAAACTGAGATACTAATGTGCATGTAAACATACCCTGTATGAAACACAGTGAGATAAAAATCTGTTGTTGAAGTGGCAACCCGTTACCCAGTTTCCCATTCTAGCCCAGTTAAGTACATCCTGGCAGCAAGCTCAATTAGTGTGTTTCATCCCGTGGTAAGATAAAAGTTGGGAAAGTTTAATGCTCGGTTAGACTGCTCGCATCAACACATTAAGTATCATAAGGGCAATCATGCCTCAGTTTGTGCCCATAACCTTGGTCCTTGAAAAGCCGCTCTCTTTCCACAGTCAAAGCTAAAAGAGTGAATGAAAAAAAAAAAATGACGAGGAGTTAATGCTGAGGCGGCAGAAAAGGAGAGACAGTCACAGCACTCAGCTGTAACACAGTCTGGCACAACACTAACAAAGGAAATGAGCAAACCACACAGCAAATAACAGACTTTTATTCAACACCCTGGGCCTCACTGCTTACATCTGGGTGCCAACCCCAGTCATTTACAAATAAACGGATTTATGAGAAATATTATGCACAAATTACTACATTTGTCTAGACAGGACATTATTTTAGCTTTACTTACACTGGCATGATCAAGTTCAACTTTCATAAATATGTTTATTGGTATATGTCAAACATTTACAGCTTCCAAATTTGCACTTAAGAATAAATGGCATGAATCGGCAAATAAACAAAAATTCTCACAGTGTAAAACTATACATATGATTTGGAAAAACAAATTATACTTCCTAGAGAATATAAATCAATTTCAAGAATTTCAGAATTTAGCATTTGAAATTCCAGTTACTGCATGTGGCATGATGCATTATATGTTAATGTGTCATCTTGTACATACAATACAATAATGCAAGATGAAGGATAGCTTAGTGGCTGCCTAACTCTAATTTTATATATCAATACTTGATGAATGAAATAAGCTATCATCAAAGCTGATCAGTGTTTCCAGTCCACAACTATAAATGTATTCAAAGCAAGAAATGATTTACACAAGACCTGAATTTCCCTCTAGATATGGTCATAAAGGCAAAGTTTAAAGCAAAGGCAATATACTACGGTACAGTTTACATTATACTATTTTGCGGTAATTTTTCTATTTTTCAGTATGAGACTCCTGTGTGGCGACAAACATGATGACTAACCCTTGACTTTCACTGTAATAGACAACAAAATGCAGGAAGGAAGAAAGGCAGAAATTAATCTCATCATGTATCTTATTTTTCATGCTACAAATTGACAAACAGACAACACAGAAATTTTTTTTGCACAAAGATTTGACAGTAATTGACAATGTAGCTCACCATTACAGACATTACAAACTTCAAATAGAAATTTTGTTGTTACAGAACAATAATATTTCTGGCATACATAAAATAACCGTTTCAATAAGGTTTGGTTTGTAATGATGTGCAGATATCATCTGTCATAATGTGGCAAAGCAATGTTTTACTTTTAAAGTGACACAGTCTCTGAATGCAAGGCTTTGAAAAGGGAATTCATTTGGAAACAACCCAACACATAACTCAGTCTATAAAATACATCCTCAGCTTATCTGCTTGTTGCTTTTAAGGAAAATGTCAGTTGCCAACTGACCAGGTAACATGAAGATGATTTTTACTTAGCGTGACGGAACAAACCTGATCAGTGTTTCACAATAGGAGAATATGGAATAAATGTGATGTATTTAGTGTTTGACTCTCCACTATACAAAAAGAAAAATTACACATTTCAAATGCAAAACTGACAATTTATAACACTAACTGTAACGTCCCAAACAGGTAGAACACAGAGTTTTCTACAACTACTTTAGTCATTTTGATGTGGCTCTTCCATTTGTTTTTTCATCAGCTTGATTTTTAGTGTGTAATATTCCTCTTGAAGCTTGAGGACAGCCTCTTGTCTTCTCAGCACAGACATTTCCAAATCCATTCGCTCTTGCAAAGTTGCGCAGTGCATTGACGTTGGAGAAGTGGAGCAGGGAGTATCCAAGTTTTCTCCAGAGGCAGTAAAGATGGTAGCACGGGGAGTACTGAATTGTATTGCAAGTGATTTGGGAATGTTACTGAAAATCATTTTTTGTTCTCCTGGAGAGGTGGATGGATCTGGATATGTAAGGAGCTCATGCTCTGTCAGTGGACGTTTGTTTGTTAATCTTTCATCGGTTGTGTGGTCATTTCCATCTTTATCATAGCTGAAATGGAAAAAAACGTTTGTCCATGAATTTATCTAACAGGCAGTTGCATTTCAACCTTTACACATAAAGGGCCGGTATATCAAAATTACACTATTAAAAACAATGTTTTCTCACTTCCTTAGCCATGTGGATAGTTTTGGTTTAATTTATCCAGGTTCAAGATACAATACAGTGGCAAATTAATAATGGCAGTCTAAACACACAAGAGAGGCCAAAAAATGTACTACCTGTTTTGTTGAGTTTCTACCAACTCTGACAATGAACAGTCTTCTCGATCTTGTTGAAGCATGTCTGAGAGGTTCATCACAGAAATCACTAATTGGGTCACAGTGCTGAACTCTTCAAGGGACAGGCCTTCATCTGTGAATGAAAAATCATGTGTCACATGTGTGTGTGTGTGTGTGTGTGTATATATATATATATATATATATATATATATATATATATACACATTCATATACATATGTGTGCAGCCATTCCCTAAAGGTCTTATTTCTTATTGGATTGCAGTTTTAATGATACTAATTATAAGACTTGTTATTGCTAGCAAAGTGCCCATTTTCCTTACCTGTACCCGCTTGCCTTTTCTGTCTTTTGATCTCCTCCCTCGACTTTGCAAGCAGATTTTCCCACTTTTTGTTGCAGTCAGAAACTGTACGCTGAATCTGTGGAAAGGCATTATTGATGGCTTGGGCTATTTCCTCCCAGGCTTGTCTTTTGTCTTGTATAGATATTCCAGTACTGCACTTCCCTCTGATTATGTCTTTCTTCTCCTGCATTAACTGGGCAAGAAGGAGGCACTCTTGGTCTGTCCAGTTAGGTCTTCGTTTCCTGCTGGACATCCCTTCAAGAAGTTGTTGAGGCATTTTTCTGAAAGAGAGAGAGACAGATTGATTATCTACTCTGTCTATTACAATTGGTCCTTGTTACATCATTGCAGCACAAGCATACTGTGGAGAAATTTCAGCATGAATAAATATAACTGTACTGTTCAACATGAACATCTGACTCTGAGGTAATGCCTTCCATTTAAGTGTTTTTAAACTTAAGTTATTATATTTAAGAGATTTTTGAAATTTTACAATTATCGCTACCTGGAACTGAATCAAGGCGAAGAGTAATCTGGTACCAGCCCAGGCTCTTGCGGGATGTTAATTCTACTAGGCACAAAAGTTGCTATAATAAATAAATCCAAATAAAACCTTAAGGTAAAACGTAAGGCTTTCCTCTCCGTCTCAGGGAAAATTCCACCGCGTCGCGGGATAATGACGTTGTCTCTTGGTGACGTGTCAGTTTGTTTACAGCGCTGCAGCTGCACGAACATGGCTGTGGATATAACTTTACTCTTCAAAGCCAGCGTGAAGACAGTAAAAACCAGAAACAAGGCGATAGGAATAGGCTTTGACTCTACCAAAGATGAAATTTTCAAGCGGAGCAGACCCAAGAGCGGCTTCTCTCCAAAGGCGAAGGAAGTGGTGAGTGTTTCCCCGAGCTAGATTTAGCTAACATGGCTAGCACCGATACAAATTGACTTTAAATTTAATGACAGCTAAATACAAGACTGTTTGAATCAAAGTGTTATTCATGCTGTGTTGGATAGGCAACAGAAGCCTAGGAAAAGTGTGCAGCAAGGTAGGAAATACTTTGGTAAGTCTGGTGTTAGCAAACTGAAAGCTTGAGTTTAGTAAAGTAGGTACCAGTTGTTCATAGTTAACAAGGCATCTATCTGTATGATGCAACATGAATTGAATGAGAGGTGGCAGTGGGAAACACAAAATCCTATATATGTTATTTTATATGGTGATAACTGCTGATAGATAAAATATCAGCTGCACTTGTAGGTTTAGTTGGAGTGGATTCATGTTTTGATCCTGATGTCAGTTGTATTTTACTTTACTCCTCTGTTTTTTATGCTATGCTGTTGAAATCTTGAGATCCACACATAATGGTATTATTTAACACCAACACTGGAGATGACAAAATAACCACAGCTATTAAAAATATCACAGTATTGTCATATTTGAGGTGATAGAATTGATTCAATGAGAACATATTTGGTGTTAATTGGTCCAGTGTCTTCAAAGAGGCTGTCAAAATGAGATACACCTAATTTCAACCTGTTGTCGTCTCATGATGGGTCAGCTTAATATGATTTCTATAATCATATTCATGTTCAAGAAACAATGCCAGAGCTTTACACAGTAGAAATACTAACCTTATGGTCTTGATTATGTTTATTTTAAACAATACAAACCAGAAATCATGATTACATTACTCAATGAATCAGAACTTTATTTTCTCCCTGTGAGTGTGTTCGTTATTTATAACTCTCGAAAAGGAAATAACATTCCCTGTATTCAGAGCAAAGTAGCTTTCCATAGAGCCATTACCTGAAAATCTATTATGCTGGATCGCTATGTCTGCTTGTCTCTCCAACTCATCTTGCAAGGTGCCAGATGTTCTGGGATCAGGTTATGAATTGCGGTTAGCAGACAAGCCACTCCATCAGATCTAAAATCTTACAGTTGTCATTTGGTCTTAGTAAGTAATCTGATGTCTACACTTTTTTGCATGTATTTATGCTTCATCCACGTTTTGTTGCTGACTAACTCTGATGCATGTGTCACAGATTGTATTCTGCTTCTCTTTATTGCCCCTCTCTGGACCCACTCACAAAGCATGGTAGCATTATTGCTGCTGAACTAAACAACAGGTTTCTGAATGTGTAATTAAAGGAAAAGTTAGTAAGTTAAATTAGTAGTTTATCTCAGACAAGGCAACATAGTCAGTCTTGAATATCAGCTCTGGTCTGCATTGTCGTCTCCTCTTTGACCACTACATTCCAGCAAAATGTAAGCATATCGTGGCAAGCACTTAATTTAATTTCCAGTAGACATCAGTGAATATGGACAAAAGACTGCAAAGAACATTACAACAACTAATATAATTTTCCAAATATCATTTACACAGGGAAATAAAGATCACTGAAATAAATAGCACTCATAAAAATGCCACTTTTGTCGACTTGAACCTGGGTCAGACTACAGGAATTTTCAAATCCTGCCCAGTGTGGGCAGTTCAGAATAAATGAGTGCTCTGCTTGAGATCTGGGCAGACAAAAGCTAAGTTCTTTGAAAAAAAAATCACACTGGGCCAACTGGCCAGACTCAACATTTTTGAGCCCAGAATACTTTTTATGCCAACTGTCAGGTCCGACAGCCACTCCTCCCCCAACACTGACAGGCCTGGACTCTGCTTTTAGAATTGACCCGGAAAATTGCCTCATGTGATCTAGACTTAAGGTGGGAGTAAGCCAGATGACTTAGAAAAATAGTAAAGAACGTTCTCCTCATTTTCTGATATTGAAAAGACAAGTTTTTGTATAATATCCTGAACGAATTAAAACGGTGGTTCAATATTACAAAACTACTGGTTGTCAGCGAGGAAATTTTGATTTCAGTTCCTTCTTTAAAAGACTTAATTAAGGTAAATAATCCTGATTTAATTGTAGGAAATTTCATATAAGCTTAAATATATTAGTGAAAACAAGTTGTTTTGAAGCTCTTCTCATGGGACACTGACCTTTAAATCTTGGCAGGAAAGGCAACGGTGGCATTTAATTAGCTCAGAAAACTTCAGAAAACATCTCAAATTTTATTCTTCCCCTGAAGTACAGAGACATCATCAATGGTTGGCAGTAGGAGATGGATCATTAGCAACTAAAATGTTTCAATTCATGTCATGGGTGTTGCTTATACAGCCAGAAGTCCTTGGCCTAACATGAATATCATGAACGCAAACCTCTTCAAAGGCACCTTGAAGAACCACTTTACGTTTCCCTCGGGGAGTCAGGACTTTTAAGTTGTACCTGATGTCTCCAGCCATCAGTCTGAGGCAAACATGAGCCCAGTCTCAGCACCTCTGCACAACCAGGTTTTTGTTATGTACTGTTACATTGATATTAGAAATGGTGGTTTAATAAAAGCACTGGTGCTGATTCAAAAGAAACCCAAACCCATCCTGTGGTGACTGCCCTCTGCTCTCTCCCTCCCCACCGCTGTCTCCCTTGCACTGCAGATATCATCTCAAACCATCTTGGTGAAGCAGCTTTTGTAGAAATTGAAATTGCGAGTTTGGAATGTCCTGACTGCTTACAGTTATGTCGCGGTTTTCACCCACAGCTCCCCCAGCTCAACTATCCATTCTTCCCTCTGTACAGCCTGACATAGGCAGCATTTTTTTGTGCGAGTCCCCTCTTTACATGTATGATTCCATAAACATGCTGCAATAACATTTTCTTTCGGCTCTCGAGCAATTTCTTGGGGAAAGCCGATCTTCCCAAGAGCCAGTGATTAAAGGTGGAAGATCAAAACAGAGAAAATATTAAATTAGGTCCCCAGTAACAATGTTGACGGCCGGCACCAAATGCACAACAGATGTGGGTGCCCTTCTAGACATGAATAACTCTCCAAGTTCCCACTGAAGCTTCACAAAAATAGAAAGAAAACATCAAAGTTGACAAATACACAGTGGTCCTGTGAGGCTTTTTTCCACTCAAAAAGCAGCGCCATGAGAAAGGAAATGTAGCGTCTTTCAAGGCAATGCAAAAAAGGCTTGATTGACTAATAAGAGGGCCTGTGTTTGCAGGGTGGGGTTTGGTCAGGGGAATCTTTTACCTCATAGGGGTCGGTTTGGGGCACTGTGATCTCCATTTCACCGCTCACCTCGTCTCTTTCCATAGCATGCTGCCCTTCTCGAGTTTAAATGGAGGGGTCACTCTAAAATTGTTAAATTGTGTGTAGAAAATAGCGCTTGACTCCCCACTGCGCCTTTAGTATTGGTATTCCAAAATTGGCTCCTTCTCACAGTGTTTTCTTAGAAGCCATGAAAAGTGTCTGGCCATCAGCCAGCACTTGTAAGTATTTTGTGCTGTTGGAGAAGGGGCGCTTCCCTCTTACAACTTTCACATTGAAATAGTATGCTCATATATTCTCAAAACAGTAGTTTGAATTTCAAGAATCTGGTTTACTTGATATTTTTGTTAGTGATGGTCAAGTTTCCAACATTTGGAATTTGGAAGTGAAATGTTTTCCCACATACTGGGATATGTTAAATCAGTGATGGACAAATTTCAAAGATGGAGACCAAACTTTGAAATGGTTTGTAGGATAATTGTTTCAGTTCTTCTGGTCATTTAGATGAAAATGAGGCACATTTGCAGATTTAACAGGTCATGTTGGGCAGATAGTACAGACATTTATGAGTCATCATTAATGTCAGCCATTTAGTGACTGAAGGGTACAAGTTTGGAAATCTGACATTTTTTCCTGAATGTCTTACCAGGCCTATTTAGAATAAAAGTTATTGTCACTAAAGCAAAAAAGTAAAAACATTTATGGCAGAAACACACAGCCTGTAAGTCCTATAGCTAAAATTGACCTACCTGAATATTTACATAATGTCCAACAAATGTTGTAGAGAATAGAAAAACAATCATTCACATAGTAAACGATGAACTAAATCCTGACTATTATATGAAATTCTCTCACGAGACAACGTGAAGTCTGACTGAAGCCTTATTATATTGCAAACTGTATGGAAAATTGGCAGAATGGGCAAAAGTTGAATAAATTTTCCAATGTACAACAACTGAAATTAAGTTTCCTCTTCACCATCTCTGCTCATCAAGTCACAAACTATATTGGCACACAGGTAAAAACATGCTGACATACAGCTGTCCAAACTCAGTCTATACTGAGTCGGCACTTTAGCCATGGGGAAGTGATTTGCGGGGATAACCCCGAGATGAATGTGTTGCTAAATGGTCTCTTTACCATTTGGCCTAATCTCTGCGCTGTTTTCCCATGAAAGCCAGGCAAATTGAATTTTGAGGCATCTGCTGTCAGGCCTGAGCACAATCTTGATTTTGTTTCACTGCGTGCAACAAAGTGTTTTTTTGCATGATTCATGAAAATGAAAATAAAAGAGGAAAAGGTGGTGAAACACAGATTTACAGATGTATGTCAAACTCTAAATCATGAGATGGACACCAGATACCCTCCAGACTAAATTGTTTAAGTGGAACAAAAGTAATGTTGAGCTCAATAGACAAAGGCTCAATTTAAACATTAAAACATGGAGCAAGACTAAAGCAGCAGCTGTGGACACTTTTTAAAGAATGTTGTAAGGCTCTGTTGTTAGACTAATCTTAGTTATTGTGATTTACAATCGTTGAAATACGACCAATACAGATGACAGCAGGCTGCATACTTGACCCTGACACTCAAAAACACAGAGAATCTGAACCATGAAACTACAACAGATGTGTACTCATCTTCTTAAACAGATGACAGCTCTAAAAGACTCTAGTGTGCCTTTTATTATCATTTTATATAACGTGTAAGTAGAACAAGACATGGGGTATTAATCATATATTGTCTGTTCACATTGACAAGTGACACTGTTGTATAAAAAAACTAATAACAGTAAACATACTGTATTGTTTTGCTGTTCATTTTTGGTCAGCATTCATCTACAGTAGATTCAAAGGCCTTGTTTAAGGTCAATAGAAAATGCATTCAGTTGCTTCCTAGGAGGTACAAACTGTCCCAAGTCTTAATTCTCTATTTATAATGAGCTTTGAAAATTGCAGAATTGTTGTCTGTCATCCACTCAGCTGAAGCATTTGTTGTTTCCAGACCCACACACTTTGCTTATAGTTGTTTTCACCACTCCTCAAATTCTTTAAATGCTTAAATGCATCATTTCAGATGCTGATCGGACACATTGTTTGGTTTCAATCTCAACGTAAACTGCTTTGTCTTCACCTTCACTTTTTGAGTTCATATATAAAATTTAGGGTGAAGAGAGAGAAAAAGTGTTTTTCTTTTCTAACTTCCCCTTACAAATTTGGCAATTTACAATTTATGATATATAATAGGAAAGTTTCCACATTGCCTTCTGCTGTTTACTTGACAACATGTAAGTTTGCGCATTTTAGATTCCACAACATGATATGGGATTATCAGGTCAACCTTTCCTGATTTTTCCTTTTGCTTGTTTATGATTGTTTTAATCATCTGTTTTAAAATTAAATCTGGTCCTTGAAGTACTTGACAGAGGTTGGTCATTACTTGAATTTAGTGTACAGTGCACATGGGCACCTCTGACAAGTTTTTGTTTGCTTTTGTGAATAACTGCTACAGCTATCTGATCCAGACCCATCACCTGTTGCCCTTCACACAGCCAACATTTCTTTTTTGTTCATTCAGTTATTTTTGTCCACTGTGTTGTCCAGGTTTTTTCATTAGTTAAATGTAATAGCCTCGGCCAATACATCTGTTTCTTATGGAATTGACTGTTGAAATGTGATGTGATTGCCTCAAAATGCAGCAGTGTAGTTTCCATAGAAATTTGTTCAAAACAGACTACAGGATTTGTCTCACTGGTGATGTGACCAACACAGTCCATTTCTTCAGCAGCAGGACTTTTAGAGATGGACAGAGACGACTTTGTTCACTGACTACTTTCAGCTTGTTCAAAATGCAAAAGGATTTGGAAATGTGACACAATCTTGCAACACAAAAGCAGTGCTGTTGTAGCTTTATAACTTTCATCTTCATCTGTCATTCAGACTTACCTTAACATAACAATATATGGTGATCTTGGTATTGTACGTTGACATTTTGTGTCCGTGAATGATCTGACCTGCATGGTCAAAACACATTAATACAACTTTAGCAGACATGAAAAAAGATCAAGGATTCTGTTCGTAAATAATCTCAAAAGCTTTGTTTGATTTTTGTTTTTTTTGTTTATTGAGCTGACTGAAGTGTTCGAACTGCGAATATACAAGAAGACAAAACTGAGCCCATTAGAGAGTCAGACATAAACATGATAATAAAATCAACATGCGGCACAGTCTTCTCCACTGAAACGTCCTTTCTGTATCAGGCCCACATACCTAAACACAACATAGCATGGCGTCAGTATGGATAGCCCTCGGTCAGGACACACAAGGACTTAAACCAAAGCAGGGTAGTCATCATCAAATTCTGTCAGTTACCTAGATTTAACAAAACAAAGAGCCATCCAGGCTCTTTAGAAATCTGCTAGCTAAGCCTTTTCTCTTTTCTTCCTCATAATAATCCCCCCTGATGGTTTGTTTGGGCTCAGTCGGGGCTGGAGGGAAGCAGGGGGAAGGAGAAAGTGAGGAGGTAAAGTGGGGGTCTTTGATGATGACGAGATTAGATGTAGCCCGGCAGACTGTCTCCTCCTGCCTTCGCTACGAGCTCTGCCTCACACACACCTATGGCGGCTGCACGTATACACATGCACACACTCACATACACCTACACATATACGGTGAGCCGCATGCACATGGCCACCCCTTTCCTTCATTGTTGAGGAATTACTTGCTCTTTAGGGTCTTAAGTTACAAGAGCAATTGATCCCTCTGACCCCCTGCAAACCCTTGAGGTTGTGCTGGGAATCTGAGCTCCAATGTATACACACAGGAGACAGCTCAACCCCCAGAGCAGCACTCTTGACACTCCCCGGCACCCCCACAATACACACACACACACACACACACACACACACACACACACACACACACACACACACACACACACACTCTAAATCAGCATGTCCCAATGCTGTGGATTTAGCCCTGCCTGCTGGTCAAAAAGGTGTAATACCATGAATACACTTCTTCAAGCAAATATACATAAATAAAAGGCTGAAGCCAAGTGCTAATTGCAAACAGAAAATATAGTTTATAGGAAAAGATAAATTAGTCATGCCATGTGAAAGATTCTATTTTCCCCTTTATGGCAGGCCAAGGATAGTCCAAAAAAACTAAAATCACTAAAACTCGGAAATGTGCTTCCACAGCAGTTTTCCTGGTTTGTAAATAAAAATTTTACCACTATAGCCAATTTAACTTGGTAATTAGAAGTTGAACGCTTCATAAGATACACACCATGATAGTCACCTAACCATGCTATGTATGCCATCACAAGTTAGTCCAAGGTTGTTTCTCTTGTTTTGTCTGACCATGTTCAAAACAAGGATATTCAGTTTATTATCCTGGAAAACTGAGAAAAGTTACTACTTACAGCATTAGTCAATTATTAAAAGTGAATTGACTAATCTATCAATCGGCTAATTGTTTCAGCTCCACTTATATCAGACTTGTGTGTTTAAAATATATGGTTGATCTAGGAGGTGAGAACTAACACAAATCCAACATTTCCTTTGATTTGCTCGAATAAAAATAACCACAAGCACTACAATTTAAAAACACAAATCAGTTTGTGCTAACAATAACTTCTACTTAGATTGAAGCAATTATCAATGAAAAATAATGCAATACATTTGTCATATGTCACCACTCTAAGATGCATATTTGAGTGACTGCGTGCATGCTGCAAGATAACCCTTTATTTCCAACCTAACATCACTAAGTACATGTTAAAAAGGAGGTGGTTCGTTGGAGGTTTTATGGCTGTAGGTCTGGAAAATCCTACCATTAAGTGTTGGTAGTTGTGGACTCACAGGACCTCACTTCAAAGTTTTCTCATTCACTGAGACACTACACAACGCCCGATGTTTTGAAATACTTTGAACCATAAGAAAGGTTCTCTTCTCCCCTGAACCCCCCTCTAATCTCAACTGCTCTGAACAACAATTAACTCTTGACCTCTAATAATTGTATTATTACAAGGGTCAGCTTACCTGAGTTAGTATTTGCCCCACAGCAGTGTCTTGCGTCACTGACTTACCTTATAAACCAGAGAAGGAGAACATTGGTCTCTAACAAATTGCTCAGCTCTGTTTATCTTGACACCTTCTTTCTGCCTTGAAAAACTTTTCATTTTTCAAACGTCAGCTCAAATAAGACGGGGCTTCAGGTCACCGTGACGCGAGGAATGAATGTTTAGAGACATTATTAGATGGCTGGTGCCAGGTTACTCTTTACAGCCAAAGCAATTTGATAATTGAGGTTGTTAGAGTGAAAAGGCTGAAGGCCGAAGACAGCGTCATTATGCTATCAAAATAATCTCCCACGCTCTGGGGTCGCTGTCACAGTCAAACTCATTGTGTCATTTTTCAATCCTGGGCTTGTCTCAGTTCTGTCTTCTTGTGGATCTCACAGAGCCTGCTGTGTGCATATTCACACCCACTTGTACCTTGCCAGCAGAGCTCTGTGGACAGGGAAGCAATTTGGTCCTTTTTTTAATATTTGACCGAATTACAGGAGCAAATATTGGATTGAACCAAGTTTCCTCTGGTTTCCCTATGCACACACACACTTGGACATTTTCTCAGTGATAAATAGTAACAGATCATGAATTTAAAGCTTATTAGAGATCGCTCTGTCAGTGCTCTGTATGCAGCAGCTCATGGTTTTATTTATGAGAGCTGTTTGAGGAGGAAATTGCAGGTTTGATTTTTGTATGTCCCTGACTTGATGAATTGTCAAAAGCAAATATTGAGAATTCACAGAGATAGACAAGACACTGGTCGCCTGTCACATCCAATAAATACTAAGTTTTACATTTACTCTGGCTCTGTCTAAATGTAGTTTGGAGAAAATAGTTTCCTGGTACATGTCTAAAAACTCTTTCTTAAGCTGTGTTGACATGGTTAACATATTTGAAGGAGCAACTGAGGCATCGCATTTAAAGGGACTCATTGACATGAAGGTAATGGAGTCAAATAATCCTTTTTTCTCACTTTATCTTGGCAGATCACAAACATCACCAAGCTGAAAGACTTTCTGCTACAACACAGGAAAGATTATGTGAGCGCCGGAAGGTAAGCCCCTCCAAACGGTTGCGGTAATCCACCACAATCAACAACAGCAGCGGGAAAATCCACCAGTGCTGCAGGGAAGGGACAAACACTTTGATTCTGACAAAATTCAGAAGGGGTCAGAAGTCAGGGTTATTTGATGGGACTTCTAAATATGTCTTTTGCGTGTGTGTGTGTGCGCCCGCGCACTGTAGAGGCTTGCTGCTGGCACAAGGTCAGCAGCGAGTAGGGTGGTCTGTAGCGGTAGGCTCCAGTCTAATTGTGTGGAATAATTGAGCTGCAACCAAGTGGAGAACAAATCACGCCCTGGGACTAATCCAGGCCTTCCTCCGCTCAAGGCCCCCTCTGTGTTTTGTAGGTGTGGGTGTGTGGAGTAGCCCATGTTTTGTTAGGTTTGTTGATAAAGTCTCAACAGAGCACATTAACTAAACATTAGAGATGTCAATGGGTGGAGTGCAGTAGTATTAAGTGGTGGGAAAATCCATCAAGATGCCATCACTGGTATGTGCACAAGTCTCGTCTACATTCAGCCTCATCATCAGCCGTTCCTGTCTGCCAATTTTCTTATCATCTTCCCTTTTGCTCTTCTTCATTTGACTTTGCCTGACAGAATAATTATGGATTTTGGATTATGACTGAATTAGTGTAGCTGGTCACCATTTCAGTCCAAGTATGGCTAATTGAAGGCTAATTAAAGTAAAAGCCTTGTTGATGGAACCCTGGAATAGAGATACAATACAAGACAATACAATTTATGGTAAGATACTATGACTGTAGCTTAAACAAACAAACCAAAAATGCTTCTCTACGTCATAGTAAAGGACGACTCGTTGCACTTTATATTTTATCACTGCATCTTAATTCTTTCGTATTTGTTTTATTTAGGGGATGCAGTTTGAGATTATTTTCATTAAAATAGTGGCAACACATATTCCCAGGGTCCATTCCCGGATTTTTTTGTGTCCATAACCCAAAGATGTAAAGATGTGAAACAGAAAAGCAGCAAACTGTCACACTTGAGAAGCTGGAACGAGAAAATGTACTTTTGCTGGAAAATTTATTTCATGAAACAATTCACTATCAAAATAGTTGCTGGTTAATTTTCTGTCAATTTGAGTTATCTTTTCAGCTCTAGTTTAATTATATAATCATTTTAGGGTTTTACATTAACAGTGATATTTTTCGCAAGAATGACCTTGATTAATCCTGTCACACCAATTCAAAATTCAATCTAACCTAACTAATCAAAACCACCTTCACACATGAATAGAATTACAGCTTTCTCAGTGCTGGGGTCTTTTTGTTTTCACTAGCTCTGTATGTTCTTAGCTAAGAGAGTTGTTGTGTCTTAGAAGTCTACCAGAGGGAGACGTTAAGTCTCAGCTGCACACTGTGGTGTGACAGCAGGAAGCTCCTGGGTTTGATTGCAGTCATGCTCTTTCCTGTGTGGAATTTACATTCTCTCTGTGTTTCAGTTTTCTCAGATTGTTCCATTTTCCTCACGTAGTAATAAAACATGAGCTCAGGTGAATTGGAAAGTCACGTCCACCCGCCCAGAGCCTGGTGCAATAGGTCTCTGCCCCACGTGACCCTGAATAGGAATGGAGAGAGAACAGGACGTGGTTGAAGGTAGACATGAGTTAGGGAAGAGGAAGGCATCTGTCAGGGTTTAGGCCACTTGTTGTAAATATGTGCTTTAAAGAGCCTTTGTTAGGATATCAATCAAATGTTCAGCTTCTGCTACATAGCCACAAAGTATTTGAACTCACTGTGATTGGTCTTGTGTGTTCTACAGTCTCATCTCGTCAGATCTTACCCGTATGACGGACAGTGAACGAGATCAGATCGACCAGGATGCTCAGATCTTCATGAGGACGTGTTCTGAAGCCATCAAGCAGCTACGCAATGAAGGTATGTGTTTCTATTACTGTGCACCTAATGAACTATTTTACAAACATTATTTGAAATGTAGAATATGCTTTTAGGTGGTGGTAGTTTTGTAATACATTATGCGGTATACATGACTCAGATTTTAGTTTTTAAACTCTCAACTGTGTTGACTTACAAAACATTAACAGCGAGCTGAGTTGAAAATGGATGTGATATTACTTTTGGGCAGCATCCCAAAATCAGCGAGTTTATCTTTAATGAATGAATATGTTATTGTTGTCAATGTAGCAGAGAAGAAGGTGACATCAGCCCAGATAAAGGAACACAGAGGGGCAGTGCTGGACCTCATTGAAATGTATCTGAAAGGTGAGTTTATGCAACTCATTACAATTCAGACTGATATTGTCTTGCACCAAGTCCTCTGTGGACTATTTTGAATGCATCCATTTGCTTATCTTAAGGACGTTTACTGGTTAAGAAAGTGATGATAAGAGCCCAGCACTCTTCTGTCTTTAAGGAGTGTGTAAGCTGTACTCTGAGCAGAGAGCAATTAGAGTCAAGAGAATGGTGGATAAGAAGAGGATGTGAGTATGCTTTCTATGCATATACCTCATTCCCACAATTTATTATTTCTTAAAATCATTTTAGGACTGTAGTAACTTTAAACTTTGTTGCCCTTGATTCACGTGGTCTCAGGTCCAGACTGGCCCCAGAACACCACAGTCATGTGGAGAAAACGCGTGAGGTGGAGCCCACTGAGGAGAAAACTGTCAAGGAAGAAAGTTCTGGTGAGTCAGTGAGTCCTCTGAGACACTCGACTGTACTTCTATGGCAGCACAGGCTGGCACACGCAATCCTGCTACTATATGTGGGTACTTTGTTGAACATGATTTGTTCTATTCTGGTTTGGTATTTTTGTGTATTTATGCATTGGTCAAAGAAACACTTAAGTTAAATCAGTAGATACATTCACTAAGAAATACGATTTTAAAGAGTTTACAACAAGAATTTTAGTGAAGCAGTCTGCGTGTTAAAGGTTAGTGTCTAATTCTTACTTGCATCTTATCTACACCAGCTTTTAAATTAAGCATTCCACGCCATTAATGATGTTTTCTCAGCCGTCTGAAGGCAGCAGGACAGATGTGTGTGTGTTATGTACAACCTGTAATTTGAAACGTGTGTTGTCATTACACAACACATCCAATAATTTGCAGTTCTATACGTTCATGTCATCCAGACCATCAGGATTTGGCAAGTCATTGGCTAATCAGATGCATTGGACAGTTCATAATAAAATATGAAGGTGAATAAAAGTTCTTAGTTCTGTCTATATCACTAAACATCCTCAGGACTATCCTCATCCATATCTTCAGCCAATAACAATAGCATATTCGGAGCAACAGCTGAACTAAACAGTTGGCATTTTTAATTTTTTAAATGGATTTTTAATGGAATTTGCATTTGTTACAGCAAATTGACGGTAATGTTTCAAAAAACAAATTGTCTTCTTTGTCATTATCACAGTAAGGCTGTTATTATGCGAACCAAGAAAACGACTTCTACAACCCTTTTATCACTTAAATGTAGCACATTTTAATAGTTTTTTTGTTCTAAAATTTTTCAGTTAACAACTGCACATAATTGCAATTATATTTGCTATTGCTATTACTGTTTCAAACCAAAAAACATCTGTCATTATGTGAGGGAAAACATGGTAAACCTTTGTTTTTTAAATATCTCCACAAACACAGCATAGTTGCCGAGCTGTATATTGTCACCTTGACACTGAACATCCCAGACAACAATAATATTCAAAACTGGCTGCTCTAAGGCCCAATATGGTGAAGTGTAAAGTTACTACAAGGATACTGCAAATACTACAAATCAGTCTAAATAACCACTCAGGGATGGCTCAAAGAGAGAATAAGCAACTAAATGAGCATTTCAGCTAAACCAAGTGAATGACAGAGGAAATGTTGGGTGTTTTTTGAAGAGACATGACGCGTTTTCACTTTGTTTTCCTCCCTGTAGAGAAAAGTGTGTCAGAGGTCCTGGACAACACTGTGGAACACCTGTGGGAGGAAGGCCGAGTGGAGGACGAGCTCTCTCCTGAGGAGATCCAGATGGTATGGCACCTGAGACATCATTATTTATTATTCATGTTGTATAGTATATGTAGATCTGTATGATTCATATGTGTTTGATGAATGTATAGCTATCTAAATGCACAGGGATTCACACATCCATTGCTTTACTGTGGAGGGTTTTTAGGGAGAATTAAATTTGTAGAGGTCCAGATAACAAACTCATTTGGACTTCAGAGTTATTTGTCATTACAAAAATGGCACACAGTCAAGTGTATTTGTACACAAGCAATCACTTAAATTAGTTTAGTAGTTTTATGGAAGTTCAGATAACACAGCATATCCAAAGTTCTTACACTGAATTAACGTCATGTTCATAAGCATCACTGATGAAGTGCTGTGTGTTTTCTGTCTAGTTTGAGCAGGAAAACCAGAGGTTGGTGAGTGAGATGAACAGCCTGGTGGATGAAGTGAGGTGAGTCTCCCTCAGCACACATGTTCCTGTCCCATTTTAATAAGACTGTTCTGAACAGCATTACTAATGCCAAGGGAGATCAGTAATTTCAGTCTGTTCAGACATTAGTGTTGTGAACGGTAGAATTATTTACTGGGAGTAATTGCAGTAATTCAGAGACACTCTTGTCTGACTGTGTGTCACTTCCCCTCCCACTAAATTACATGCCCAAACTGATTGAAATACTACGTGCGCAAGACAACACATTCATGAAATATCAGATGTCGATCCAGACAGGATTAAAATGACCCAAGGACATAGGTGTATGCAGATTAAATTATTACTATGGTAGCCAGAGAAAATCACTGACATGTTTGTTCCAGATGGAACAACATTCCTAAGGTCCTGAGGTGAAAATTACCAGACCTGCCCCGGTAATACTAATGCCATCTGGAAGGGCTTAAATATGCTAGGCACACTGTTTTCACGGGATGTGTCATGCTTCCCGTTTGTGCCCATCAGGCAAATCGAGGGGAAGGTGGTGGAAATCTCTCGACTTCAGGAGATCTTTGCTGAGAAAGTCCTGCAACAAGTGAGCTTATTTCCTTTTCTTTCCATCACTTGGTCACTTAAATGCACAGTATTTCAAGAATAAGTCACACGTGAACTGATCTGATCCATCTCGCTTTCCATGACAGGAAACAGAGATAGACAGTATTCATCAGCTGGTTGTGGGTGCTACGGAGAACGTGAAAGAAGGCAATGAGGATATACGAGAGGTAACGCTCAACTAGATGAAAAAAAAAAAAACAGTTCTGTCGATATTAATGAATCGTATCAGTAAAATGTTCCTCTATCTTCTAACTTCTGTCACAAGGCAATCAAAAACAACGCCGGCTTCCGAGTATGGATCCTCTTCTTCCTCGTCATGTGCTCTTTCTCTCTCCTTTTCCTGGACTGGTATGACAGCTAACATAGCTGCCAGCATGGACTCTATACAACAGGAAACCTCCTGGCTCTGGCACGTATTGGTTATCTCATAAAGAAATGACAACAGCACACTGTATGAATGTACCACTTCCCATGCTGAACCCGGTGGACAAGTTGTTCTTCATGAAGATTCTGGATTGAAGTGGAGATGGCAGTTTGTTCTTCTCTGGTCTTAACTATCAGTTAATCTTTGTCCAGTGCTTTTAGTGCAGCATCAGTGTTTACAAGCACTTGTGTTGAGTCGAGCTTTGTCAGGAGCACTGTATTCACTCTAAGTGTGTGTATGGTTGGACACTGTCTTTTATCTTCCACTAAATGAAATAATGGTTTGATTGGCTGCAACCCTTCTTGTCTGACTGACTGAAAAAACAGATCTTGTTTTTTGTTGATCCTTCTTGGAACCAACTTTAATGCACTAGAGGATACTGTGTAGACTTGCATCTTGTCTTTGCAGTCTCATGTATTTAAATATATTGTAAACTTAGGACCCTCAATGACATTTGTGTTATAATTCACTGTCAAACCATTGAGAATGTTTTGCTTTCCAGGCATTTATTTGATATCTGTCACAGCATAACTGTACTGACACACCACTCACAGTAGTAAAACTAAACAATATTCTTAATTAAATTCTGTTTCTTTCTTTACCTCAGGATATCATTTTAAAAGAGTTAATACATTTCAAATTTATGTCAAACCTTCACATAACATCAGCCATGGCCTGTCTTGAGTTGTGTCAGCCAAAGAAAAGAGGCTGGCGATTTGAGATTTGACTCACAGGGCCCCCTGATATTTCTGCTAATCTGTTTATTAGGATTAACCTATATTCTGGTGGAAGCAGTACAGCACTTAGAAATGTTCCTTTGATCTCAACTCAAGGGAACATGAACTGGTAACTGTATTTATTTTCTGCCTTGTGGGAGTTTCAGCATTACTGACAAGATTTCCTCTTGAACTAGTTAAAGGAAATGTTCTTTTACATATATGGATTCCACTTGAACATCGGTGTGAAATGTGGGCACTTTATTTCAGTTTTTCATTTAACATTTTTATGTAGCAAATGCACTTCAATGGTAATCATTACATTGTTTGAAAAAAGTACATAATTTGTGTAAATGACAAATACAGAAAAAAGCGACAGGACAAGCAACTACTGTCAGATTGTTCCACTACATCAACCTAAGTCTAGCGTCTGCGATGGCTACCAACAGCCATCTATGGTGACATTAATCAATGCGAAGCATTGCACAATACAGTGTCTTCACTAGCAATGCAAAAACATTCAATAGAGTAGCATAAAAGTTATGCTATGTAAAGTAACCAATAACTAAGTCTCATGTAGCCAGCAAAGAAAAGCACGTGGTGGTCACAAAGAGTTCAAATGAATGGAGACAATCATTAATGCTGGTTTAAAAGACTTGATGCATCAAATACTAAAAACTCCTTAAGAGCACTATATGCAGAGAGCAGTATGGGCTGAATCAAAATAACACGATTAAAATAGTTTTTTTCGCTGGTTAAAAGGTTTCTTTCAGATCAACCCTCATTTATTCACAATATTATGACAGTAAAATATGTTGACACAGATGACCTCAGTGGTAAATATGCTGCAAACTTGCTGGAACTCAAGAGGTCTGACATGCGCTATCAATACTGTATCTGAAAAGAAAGAGGTTCAAAGCAAACTGTATTATTGTTATTGGAGTCGTGCGTGCATGTGCATTAAAACAAGCAACGCAGACACAAGATGGTTCACAGTCATTTCACAATCTGAGTACTAAAGTGAGTTCTCTTACATATGTGTATGTACAAAGACAGTGAGTGTGTGTCTGTGTGTCAGTGTTTGTGTTTCTGTGGCGTTTTCTACACATTTGCCACTCTGTTTTGAAGTGTAAATAAATAACAACATATGCTATTCAAACAAACTACAAATCCAGCCAACTGTAAGCCTCACTTTGCTGAAAACATGTTCAAAATTTCCACACATTTCCTGCTACAGTACACATTCGCTGGCCAAACTCTATCAACAAGGCAGCATAGCACCTCAGGAAAGAGAGGTTGATTTTTCATCAACAGAAAGCCATGGGATTCTGAGGTTTGCTTGAATGACACAACCATATTATTTATTTTTTTCTGCAGCAGGTGATGCCACCTGATCCCAGGTTGGTTAAGCAAGCTTCTGAGCAGTCTCCGTTTCCTGCTGGGTGACCTTCTCCTCAGACATGATGGTCATCCATGGTGATACTGACCGAGTGATGGTCTGCTTTGCTATGTTATAGTGGTTGATGAGGGTAAAGAGGCGCCCGCGGCCCCCAGGGCCCTGAGGGGGGTAGTTGCCATACATCCCAGCTGGCATGCAGCGTCCTTGCTTCTCAAAAGAGAGAGAAAACAAGATTAAAAATACCAAGAAAAATACCACCTTGTAGCTTTCTTGAAACAAAACTACAATTAAGGAAAGTATAATGACACTTTGAAAGAAACTGTGATTCACAGTTCACTGTTGCACAATAAGAAAGCATTGATAAATATGGAACTGTAATCTCAAGCAGCAGGGGAAAAGAGCACAAGCTAAGCTTCATTACCTAACCTATACAGGTGTCTGTCAAAATGGATGAGGCTTTCACAGAAAATGAGCTAATACTCAGTCACCCTCACCCCACTGCCATAGAGTGAACTGAACAATGGTGCGCTTTAATGTTGTGCTTTAATGTAAGGAATGTTGTGTTATTCCTCCCCTCAAATTTACATGGTCTCACTTTAAGTTAATTTTAAAAAGTAAATTTACAACAAAAGCTGATTAAAGTGTGGCAGTAGAGATATAATTAAAATGCCACCTTCAAAGAGACAATTATTCTATTAAAGATCATCTCTACTAACAGAAAACAATCTCACGAATGTCAGGTCTTCAAAGGGTACATTTGAGGTAAATAAAAAGTAAATGTCACTTCAATCCCTTTTATTGTGCAACAGTCTTGGTGAAAAAATTGGTCTGATAAATGGCTGCTTAGCATCATTGCAACGCATATGGACACCATTACAACAGTATGGCTGTCTATATGGTTTATTTATATACAATGCTAAAATGCTTTACAAAGTAAAGAACAGAGGTTTACTCAGGTAAAATTCAAATAGTTAAATAAGATAACAACAATCAAATGAACATTAACATATCAACGTCAGACAGGGTCACAAACAATGATGCTCAAAAGTGTTTACCGTGTAAACAAAGCTGTCAGGGCAAGGCTGCTCGTACTGGTAGACCTTGTAGACGACTAGGAATACCACACACACAAGGAAGGCCAGGGCACAGATCACCAGCAAGGTCACCTAAAGCAGACACACAACAGCTCCGTCATAAGCACAAGACCTATGTGACAGATCAGCCTGAGAAAACAACACAGCTACTGTAACTTTCCTAATTAAAGGAGGTGAGTGAGCAGATTGGAGTAATTCATTTTTTCAGATTATTAAACAGCAGCACAAGAGCGCCAAGTTATATGATATATCTAAATACTAAATACGTGAATGTATATATAACAGTGACTAACAGCCAGTCAGGGCTACAGATATTCTGCATATAGTAACTCTACAGGGAATTGGCTTTTGTGACCATCTGTACAGCCCAGCTCTCACCTCTCTGGGGAGTTATGTAACCAGCTACTGGTGTTTCTGGGAAGTGGGAGGGGGATAAGGCAAGGTGTGGGAGAAATGGCCTCATTATTGTCAAAGATGTTGATCGCCACGGTGTGAGAGTGTTCTTGTTATGAGTCAACACAAATGAATATGCTTTTTCTTTGATTAGGTGCTCATAGAGAAACTGAGATCATTTCATGCAACGTCAGAGAAATTGTGATTAAACAGCAGAGAAATCCTGAAGCAAATGTTGATTTTCATTGAATGCTGTGACGACAGTATATTCTAGAGGATTTCTTAGATAGGGAACAAGTGCTCTCTGTACTGTTCCCCAGAATGTTTGGCACTGATTCGATAAGATTGTTAACAGCATGTATCAATATGAGTAAAGGGATATTCTTTTTATCTGTCTGGTGTGAATCCTGCAGTTTCACAGCTGAACAGACAGTACAGCATGTATAAAGCAAAGCAACAGGAGCTTATGAAAGAGACTCTCTGCGATGAAAGGGCTGCCTGCAGCATTTCAAAGCACCAATGTGAGGATATGAGCTGTGTTCTCTGAGAAAGTGGTGTGCCTCTTTGCCTCTCAGATGTTTGAGAATTAAAGCTCTATCACTAAAGGAAGCTTGACAGTTTCATCTGTTGATTTTGAGTGTGGAGGGAGAGTGGTGCAAAGTCTGCATGCAAAACGTGTAATTTGGTGAATTTTAAAATATTCAAGGAAGTTTTTTATACCGTAACCCTATCAGAGCTGGAGCTAGGATTGTCTTTTGTTTTTTCTTTTACAAAACGATTCATATGTAATTATTCTATATGGCGTGAAGAGCTAAACACATCTGCCAGAGGGGCATTGAAGGAGGTGGGAGAGATGCTGCCATTTGGAGGCCATCGCCATGGCAGCAGCTGAATTAATGAGAGTTTCAGGGCGGGGTTAAGTGAATCATTGTGCATTATATCTCCCCATGCAGCCCGGTGAGATGACAGGCAGCATAGGACACAAGACGTGAAGGTGGCCTGAGTGAAGAAGCCACAGAGTATAACTTGGATTGGAGAGGCAATATTATGACGGTAGTGACAAATGTCCCGAGCTGCAGGGAAGACAGCCGTCTGCTCTCTGGCATATGCATGTGTGGAGGTGTGAGAGATATTGGAGATGGGATGATGCATGAAACACAGACAATGGCAGCAACATTATTCTTACTTTGAGTCGCTCAGATACGCCTTCAATGATGCTTATTGAGAACTCAGCAATTTTTGGAGATCGTAGCTTCCCCTTCTTGTTCTCACCATCATAGTCTGCCTTTGTCTTCACCACCACCTGGAAAAAACACAGAACACACACACATTCACATGAGAGAAGATCCAGTCAGCTCATAGCTTAATGTGGAAATAGGAGTTCACAGAAGCAGGGTGGGTAAAATTATTTGTCTTTTGCTTTTGTACGTGTATATAAATAGCAGATCTGTACAAACTGATAAACCAAAAATAATTGTGCTTCCTTAATTGGACTAATTGGACTGGTAGAAATACAGCACAGGGCCCATCAGTGTGACTGTTGAAATCAATGGAAAAACATCAAATCAAAAATCTTACCTTATCTGGTGGAGGAAACTGCAGCTGACTGGCATCTAATGGTGTTATAAGAGGGATGGTGTCAAATCCGTCTTCAGAAACCACCTTTCCGTTATTTTTCTCGCTGAAATTATTTCCCAGTTTAACCATTTTCCCAGCACGAAAAAACACCAACCTGAGAGGAGGAAACAATCGCTTATTACGCCTGAATTAAAGCTATTACCTTTTGTCCTCTGCCCCTATGTGGTTGCATAAATCGTTCAAATAAACACGTGTTTTTTTGGGTTTTTTTACACATGCAAACAGCAGTACAAATCTAACAAAAAATAATGTGCATGATGTGAGACGCTTTGTGGGCCATGAGAAAGCCTGTTAACCACAAAAGCGCAGGAAAGGACACGCAAGGCTTCGACATAATGAGACTGATGCATCACCGTGGAAGAAAAAAATACGATTTACCGCATCCCAACACTTACCAGCTCAGCAGAGACGCGTTTTGAATCGGTGGATTTCTCCTGATGTGGTGACTTTATTGTTCCAGCGCTGGTGTGTGTGTGTGTTTTTTTTTAGGTGTGACGCAGCCGATTTGTGGAGAGCTGGTGCACAATATGGCCAGCTGGGTTTGTGCGCCGCGTTTCCTCCAAGCTGGATGCTGCTGCTGGCGTCTGGTTGCACTGCAAGTGATGTAACATCCTCATCACATCCATCCATACACATACTCTGATCAGTGGCAGTACACCCTGGAGCTGACGGAGCCCATCACCAGCTTACATTTAGGGTAACAATCAGAATGTACAAAATTTTCATTGAGTCCAAAGATGAGGAGATTCCAGGTAAATAAAGAAGGATTTAATGGGCAATTGTGCAAATGTAGCTATTAAAAGATAAATAATAAAGATAAATAGAGATAAACTGACATAAATTAATAGGCTAAAAAAACTGAAGTTATCTGCAGATAAGGTTTAAGATTTAAAAGTAAAACATGAATTAATTCTTCTCACAATTAATTAATGTGTGTATTGGTGGCTACCTAACTAATATTAAAATAACACAATTTACTGTAAAAAAAAAAAAAAAAAAATCTACTTATTTGACATGTAGTCACTTTCTTGTTCAGTGAAATGAAAAAATGTGTTCACTTTACAAAACAAAAACACAAAATTACAAAAAATTAAGTTATGCTTAACACAAAAATGTTTTACTTTCTTAACATAAAACTACCACAAAAGTCAGTGTTTTTAACCACCAGTACACATACTTTAGTAAAAATTTGTCAAAGCAACAGTAAATGCAAAGGTTGAGTGCAACTTTCATTTCTTTGAGTAGAGACAATTTTCAAGCTAGCGCTGCAGCAGTGGCAGCCATACTTACAGCAGCTGTCCTGCAAGATGTCCTGATAGAAGGTTAAGGTTGGCACGAGTCAGTTCACTAAGGAAAACAGCCCTAATGTAAATCTGCTTACCCTTATGTGGGTTTTAACAGACCCATTAGCAGAGGTTTCTTGCCAGTTCAGTGCCTTCCAAATGGAAAGTTATCATTTT